GACTGAAGCAGAGGTTAGAATCAGAATCACGGAATCCTGGAATGGTTTGGGTGGGAAGGGACTTTAAGGACCATCTGATCCACCTTCCACTAGCCCAGGTTGCTCCAAGCCCTTTTCCAACCTGGCCTCGGACACTTCCAGGGATGGGGCAGCCAAGGCTTCCCTGGAAAATCAATTCCAGGGCCTCACCACCCTCACAGGGAAGAATTTCTTCCCAATATCCCAAAACCCCCACTGGGCTCTAGCACATTCCAAGGACCAGCCCACTGGGATCTCAGCTTTCCCAAACAGGACGAGACCCAAGCTGCTGCTCCTGGAAACCACCAGGAAGAAATTCCCACTTCAGAGGGCAAGAGTTCAATGGTGGAAAAACCAAGTGCCCTCCAGGGATGAGCCTCTCCCTCCTTGGCAGCTCATGCTTCCCAAAATTCCAGCTTGGGAGCTGCACACCCCCTCGATCCCTCCAGGAGGATCCATCCCCCGGGAGCGAGGCACAGGGCTGGTGTCCCATAAAAACCAGAGGTTCTGTTCCCACATTTTGAATTCCAGGCAGTTTGGATAATGTTTTCCATTGGAGATGGTGTGAGGTGGATAAATCCACGCTCTGAGAGTCAGGGAATTGCAAACATCCCGTTAGGAGCAAGAAAGGGAAGGATCCTCAGCACAAGGATCGTGGAAATCCCAAAATCCAACCGTTTTCCCTCTTCCTGAACCTTTGCATCCGGCTCTTCCCACAGAGTTGACAAAAAGCAGGATCTGAAAAGGGAGCTGGAGTTTTGTGCTCATTCCCAAAAAAAGCCCAAGTGTTTGGTTATTCCGACTCCCACGTTCCTACCTCCACCAGGAGCCTTTGGATACGGCCCAGGGCTGGGAGATTCCTGCCTGGAAGTTTCGGAAAGCGGAGAGCAAAAATAGGCAGGAGGAGGAATCACTTGGAATCCCTGAGGATACTTGGAGGATGCCTCAGCTTGGGAGTTTTTAGGGATCCTCCGGCTCCCAATCCAGGTGCACAGGGATGAAGCCCTGGGGGCGCTGTTAGTGGGAATTAGCACATGCTGTGGGATTTGGAATTACACTGGAATCCCTGGAATGCCACAGGGACAGCACAGCTTTGATCCTACCATGGATTAACTCCGGGTTTCCTGGTTTCCTGCTCCCACACGTCCCAACGGGAGCGAGGTGCCGGAGTTGCTGGCCTGGATCATCATTCCAGCTTTGAGGATCCTCTTGGCCAGTCAAGGACCTTTGGTGTATTATTCCCCAAATTCCCAGTTAAATCCTTCCACGCTGTGTGTTCCAGCTTACTCCAATCCTGCTCCCACCCATTTCACTTCCTTATTCCCAGAGATCCCAAAGCTTTCACTGAAACCACCCCAGACCCTCCAAGCTCCTCAGAAGACGTTCCCATGTCAACTCCAGCCGTGGATTCTCCCACTTTTCCACTTTCCGCTCTCATTCCTGCAGTTTTCCAGTTCTCCCAACTCCAGGCACACCTTTTTTCCTGGTGCAAATTCCATAAAAACACAAGAACTGAGGACATTCCTAAGCCGGAGCCGCTCAGTCCCAGAGCAAGGCAGTTTAATACACTGGGAATCTGGTTTACTCCAGGAGTTTTCCAGGAATGACGCTGGAGAGGTGCTTGGAAGTTGGAAACTCCAGGCAGCACAGACAACTCCCTTTTCTTTGGTGGCATTCCCATTATTTTGGCAACTCCTGCTTCTTCCCAGGAGGCTGGAAAGCACCTGGAAGCCCCCTTGGCTCCAAGGTCATGGACACGGTTTCCTGGTTTTCCCGAAGGTCTAATCCATGGATGCTCTCACCCAATAAGCAGAACAAGCTCCTCTTCATCCATCCAGGAGCTCCCAGGAATTCCTTCCTTCCCAGCTCCTCTTTATCCCTCCAGGACCTCCCAGGAATTCCTCCCTCCACGGTGATTCCTTAATCCAGCTGTTTTCCTTCCACTTCCCGCGGCTTTTCCTTTTGCCAGCTTCCCTCCACAGGTTCTCCATGGCAGCTTTCCATCTTCCACCCTCTCTCTTCACACTTGGCTCTCCCAGATCCAAAAATTCCCTAAGATCTGCTTCTCCAGCACCCATTCCCTCCTGCGAATCCCAGACATCCCTGGGATGGGACAGGTGGCACAGGGATATCTTCCCACGAGCGATCCCACGGATCCATCCCTCTGCATCCCTTCACTGTGTAATTCCCTGGAAGTGCCTCTCCCAGCCAGGATTCCTCATTTTTCCAGGGTGCGGCTAAATCCCAAATCCCAAATCCCAAATATTGCAGGTTAAAGGGGAAACCCTTTAACCCCGGCCACTGGGATTTGGGAGCGATCCCAGCCCTTTCCCAGGCATGCCTTGGCTGAGCTGGAGCCCCTGGGGAGGGGGTGGATCCCGATCCCGGCCCTCACCTGGGTGAATTCCTCGTCGGCGTAGATGTCGATCAGATCCACTCCCTCGGACATATTTCCAGAGGCGGGAAAAGCGGGAGCCCGGGCTGGGACCGGGACGGAGCCGGGACACGGAAGGTGCTCTGGGAAAAGGGAGGGGTCGGGGGGGGAGTGTGAGTCAGCGAGGCCTTGGGAATGTGTTGGATGTGCCCCCCCAAATTCCCTGTTTCTCCTCTAAATCCCTTCTGCCCCCAAAATTCCACCTTTTCCCCCAAAGCCCTGTATCACCCCCAAGCCCCTTTTCCCACCAAATCCCTGTCTCCCAAACTCTTCCCCCTTAAATCCCCTCTGTCCCTCAAACACCCGTGTCCCCCCCAAATCCCCACTTTGCCCCCAAATCCCCTCTGACTCCCCAATTCCCTTTTCCCCCCAAATCCCTGTGTACCCCTCAAATTCCTCTTCCCCCCAAATCCCCTCTGTGCCTCCAAACCCTCTTTCCCCCCCAAATCCCATCCCCCCCAAAACCCTGTGTCCCCTTCAAATTCCCTTTTCCCCCTAAATTCCCTCTTCCCCCCAAATCCTGGTGTCCCCCTCAAATTCCTTCTTTCCCCCCAAATCCCCTCTTCACCCCAAATCCCTGTGTCGCCCTGAAATTCCTCTTCCCCCCAAATCCCCCGTGGCCCCCAAATTCCCTCTGTCCCCCAAACCCCCGTCCCTCCAAATTCCCTGTTTCCCCCCCAATCCCCTCTCCCCTCCAAATCCCCTCTTACCCCCTAAATTCCTTCTTCCCCCCAAATCCCGTGTGCCCCCCAAATTCCCTGTTTTCTCCCCAACCCCCCTCTGTCCCCAAATCCCCCTTTCCCCCCC